CAATATTGTGGTTTATCTATACAATGGAATACTACTCAGTAATGTAAAGGAAAATTTACAGATATATACACTAATATGGAAGATTCTCACAGATAAATGCTGAGTAAACATAGTAAGACATTTAAAAAAATACCTACTTTACGAGTCCTTTTCTATGAAATTTAGAAAAAGCAAATCTAATCAGTAATGACAGAAAGCAGGTCAGTGTTCTTTAGCTTTGAGGGAGATGGGGAATGGCTGCAAAGGGGGTTGAGAGAATTTTTTGGTGATAGAAATGTCCTATATCTTGGTTCTGGTGGTAATCATGAGAATATATACATTGGTTAAAATTCATTAAACTGTACATTTGGAATGGGTAAATTTTATGTAAATTATACCCCAATAAACTTGATTTAAAAATCCATCAGCACTCCAGTTTAAAGAAAGCAGAATGCTATCTCAAATAACAGTCCATTTCAAGTGAAATGAGATCCAATTTTAAGATGAGCAGGCATCTAATGAATTATCTGACATTTCTTTCCAGCAGTAAGTTACCCCCAATTACCACTTGGGTAAAGTATATTTCAATAGCTTGATAAAAATAACTCTCTTGAAGAAAATATACTTCTTACAAAAATACTAAGAGAAAAATCATACTACTTGTTTTTTAGACAGAATGACACACACATGCACACATACATTTTGCCTGTAATTTTCAAAATCCTGTGAGAGGGAAGAGGTTAGCTTTAATTATTTCTTGCTTGATATAATCACTGGAACATTTAACCTTTTCCCAACTTTGCAGGCTCTAGTCAGAGCACTCCAGGTGCATGGAATACTATTTAAAACACCATGGGAAGGAGAGAGTGTGAGAGCACATGCCATGGATGGGGAGCTACACTCCTGCAAAAACAGCTGGGGAGATGAAGCCTGAGAGACAGACAAGGGCTTATCAACCACTGAAGGATTTCAAGCTGGAGAATCCATGACCAAATCTGCAGTTAGATGACTCTGGTGGCAGTTCAGGGGATTAATTGTGGGGTGGGATGAGAAGATTGGAAGGCAGAAGATTATAGACAGAAAACTACTACTTGATCACTGCTTGAAAAACAGGGAAGGTCGAGATTAAGGTCATGACAGCAAGGCTGACAAGAGATGTTTCTGATAGTATTTAGAAGGCAGAACTGATGGGACTAGGTCACTGATTGGATATGGCCTTAGGGGTGAGAATTTTAGGATGATTTCTGACTTGGGATTCCATCTGAATAATTGTACCATCCACCAAAATGGAGAATATAAGAGAAGACACAGGTTTGGGGAGAAAGAAAATTAGAAATAAATTCTCAGTCTGTATAAAATGGGAGAAGAGCTAAAAATGGAACCTTAGGGGGAGCCTCAGCATATTCATGAGTACGCAGAAGAAGAGCATGAAAAAGTGATGAAAAGGTGTATCCCAGGTCACAGAAGGCAGTATGATGAGAATTCTGTGACAGAATTGGTCAGCAAACATCAAAGGCTGAAAAGTCATCAAGTAACATAAAAGAAATATATGCATCAAGTAGGAAGTCTCTGGTGACCTTTCCAAGAGCAGTTCCCAGAGAACACTAAAGATCTAAGTCAGACCTTGATATTGTGAGGAATGAATGGGAAGTGAAGAAGCAGAGAAAGTCAGTGTTCACTATTATTTCAGTGAGTCTATGAAAAGAAGGTGAACATTTGATTAGTAACAGAGGAGAAACAATTTTAAGGAGAGATGTTTTATGGTATGACTTGGGCTTGTATCTCCTGGCATAGCAAGATTCATGGGGGAGTGGGGAGGGTGACAAAGTAAAGGGATCCATAGGAATGTAGCGGGATGGAGACTGGAACTAGTGGTGGAACTAGTCTTAGACAAGAGGAAGGGCTCCTTTTCCACTGAACTGAGAAGGAAAGATTTATGTTCATGATAAGATTTATGTTCAAGATAAGTGGTTGGTTGGGGGGGTGGGTAGGTGGTGAGGAGCAAATAAACTTAATGAAGTGCCAATTAAAAGGTAAGACTCTCTGCTGAGAGGGCAGGAAGCTGATGATGTGAGTTTAAAGACAGCTGTGAAAGTTGAAAAAGGTACTGATGAGAATGGAAAAGCTTTAATATCTCTGTAATATAATTAGGGACTCCTCTTTTGAAAGTTAATCTCAGTCTACATATGTGGAAATATGGGACAATGATTGCCAAGCAAAGAAATCTGATTACATTTTGCTTTATATAAAACAGTACTTCTTGGCTTCCATGTGGGAGGATGATACTTCTAGCTCCCTCCTGAGGAAGACATGCTCTTCAAATTTTTCTAACAGTAGTGATGGCCTTTTAATCCCCAAAACATTAGTGTGATGATTATAAGGATTTAGGATGGAAGTTCTAGCCTCGGAACAAAGTTTTCCTTCAACATTACACTGACCTATTCTAAAAGTCAAACTCCAAAAATCTTAGCATATTCGCACCAGGCACTGCCACGTTTACATGACAGCATTCTATTTTAAACTATGATCTATGTCAGCTTCTTAAATTTTAAGCTACACCTTGCATGTCAAATTTTCCAAAGGCTTGCATAACAAGCTTATGAAAAAAATCTCGTAAATGCTCCCTAGTGGAGAAACTGCACATGCAACTACCTGTTTATATATGCAGTAACTTGAATTATACATGAAAATTCCACATGGATGCCCAGAATCAGCACTGTGTTAATTCAAGAAGTATATTAAAATTTTTGGATGTATTTAGTAGCAGAACCTAAGAAAAATCTGTTCTTTAAACAGGGTTTTCTTTAAAAAAAAAAAAAAAAAGATCTGTTAGTTGGAATCTACTGTTTCAAGGAATCGACTCTTTCTAGAAAAAATAATCTGTAATAAATATTGATCTTATAATACATTTTTTTTAATTCTGGGAAACTCCATATTTAGATCTTTTAAAGAGTCTGTAAGTCTGTAAAATTTCCCCTATCCCATAAAACTTAAGAGTCATATTGAAAATAAAATTTAAATGATAAATGTCAGTTGCAGAAGTTATCACCTTTTCATTTGAATGCTTGACTTCTATTGGATAATTCTCTTCCAAGAGACCTTCTTGGGAAAAGAGGTGACAGCCAACTCATTGCCTAATTGATTTAGGAACAGTGCCCAGGGAGACAGTCCAATTAAGTTTACAAGCTGGCAATTAGCAGGAAGCCCTCTAAATCCCTACACTGAGAGCCTGTTTACTTTAGTAAGAAGGCAAATGTGATAGAGATAGGAAGAGAAAGCTGTGCTTTTTGCAAAGCTGTTGTGAATAGGCCCACAAGGGAGGGCTGAAGAAAAGCTAGGTGTATGTGGGCAGACAGCCTTTTGTTTGACAGGTAACTGGGTAATTTAGAGAGAGAGAGAGTGAGTGAGTGAGTGTGTGTGTGTGTGTGTGTGTGTTTTAACAGACATGCAAAACAGCTAACATCCACTTTAATGAGTGTTGTGTATGGAGACATACAACTGTTAAACATGTAGCTGGGCAAAGTAGAACTGGATTATCTTATAATGAATGAGATTCCAAACATTCTTTTCTTGGACAACATGAATATTATAGATTTAGTTGCATTTTTATTACAGGGAGAGAATATAGCCCTCATGTTATATCCATTATATCTTTCAGGTTAATCAAGTCATTGTCAATTAGATTTATTTCATGGGTTCAATTTCAGAGGTAGATACACTACAAAAAAAAAGTAAACTGACAGCTATTTAACAAATACTTCATTCAATGTCTTTAAAAACTTAACTTCATATCACAGAGACAAATCATGTAATGGGTTTTAAAAATATATTTACTTTTCTGTGTTTTCAAGTTGTAATAATAGGCATTAATTAAAATCTAGTTTTTAAACTTAAGTGAGGTTCTCTCAAGAATGTTAAGTTATACAAAACTACCTAAAGAATATTATAGGGCATAGCTGGGAAGGCAAAACTGCAAAAGACAAATCATACTAATACAATTTTGTTTTAAAGTTTCCTGGTTGAGGGGCGCTTGCTGGCTCAGTCAGTAGAGCATAAGACACTTCATCTCCAGGTTGTAAGTTCAAGCCCAACGTTGGGTGTAGAGATTACTTAAAAATAAAATCTTTAAAATCTAAAAAAAAAAATCCTGGTTGAAATGGGCTATATTAATACATGATTTTCATAATATTGAAAAATCTTTTTCAATATTTTTATCTAAAAGGAAACAAAAAAAATTATACAACTCTCTGCCCAAATTCTCCAAACATTTGCTTTTTCTTCTTTTAAAATATTGGTCTTACACATTCCAATCTGGGAAGCAATGGATACTTATTATCTAAAATAATTTTTTAATAGAAAAAGTATTTTATTCCTATAACACTTTTTTTTAAAGATTTTTATTTATTTATTAGAGAGAGAGAGTGCATAAGAGAGCACAAGTGGTAGAGAGAGAGAAGCAGGCTGCCCATTGAGCAGGGAGCCTGATGCGGGGCTCGATCCTGGGACTCTGGGATCATGACCTGAGCCGAAGGCAGCCACTTAACTGAATGAGCCACCTTAACTGAAGGTACCCCAACACAGAACTTTTTAATGGGCATAGTAAGTACTTTTAAAATATTCACATATGTATTTATTTTGGAAAGTATCAAATGTGGAAGTTTAAGCTTTTCATGCATCACAATGGGCAATTAGTGCAATTTCCAAATTCTTCACTATCTAATGTTCCTTAACATTTAGAAAATCACCCACAAAGCTTTCTTAAAGAAACTATATGAGGGCACCTGGCTGGCTCAGTTGGTAGAGCACGTGACTCTTGATCTCAGGGTCGTGAGTTTGAGCCCCAGGTTGGGCATAAAGATTACTTGAAAAAAAAAAAGAAACTATATGAAATGTTTGAAAGGCAAACCTATTTATGGAATAACATAGAAAACCTCCATTTCTAGAATGGTTTTATTCTCTTAATCATAACGTCATCATCATAAACATTTTAATTTACTTACTCACCAACTTCCTTGACTTACCAAGTTTAAACAAAAGTGCACCCAAAGGTCCTCTGTCAAACCTGAGGAAGAGGAGATCATAGATGTCCCCACATTCTGGCTTCTGAGAAACCACCTGAGGAGCTATCCACTGCATTTGAACAAGACTGCTGGAAATGTCAAAGAATTTATTGAACTGCAGAATCTCCCTGGGTGAGCGGTCTTCAGCCAGGAGCTGGATGTTAATAGGGGATAAAGCCATATCAAAAATCTGAAGCTCCCCTTGGTTGCTGCCAACTAGTAGAATGGCGCCACTTGGGTGGCAGCTTATTAATGAAGGCAAAAGTTTAGCCTGGGCTAAGAGAGTTACTCTACGGTGAGTTTCATAAAGAATCACTGAAGAATCTTCACAGCCCAGAATCAGTTTGTCTTCAGTAACATTCCTGCAGCAGCTAATGGCCTTTGATCTTAGTGGTATTCTGGTTACTGATATACACTGGATTTTGTTCTGAACGTATTCGTAGATGCAGCTGTCAGCCATGGACTCTTTGTCTACACTGATGGAGCGCTCCACTGTCAACACCTGATAAGGCTGTTTGGTGCCAAAGCGAATATCCAGTGGATCCCATTCTGTGCGGACACAACTCAGAACCTGCAAGAAATTTATCAAGTATGTTCACACAGACCTTGGTTTTTCTTCAGCAGTCACACACAGGCCTGCATATTAATCCAGCATCCTACTGAAGAGCATCAATTATCACCCAAACCATCAGCAACATATAAGTATGTATGTGCTATATATATTTGTATATATTTCTCTCACATAGAACATCTATAAATATATATAGCACATATAGAACACAGCTGCAAAATTGTAAGATTTTAACATTAACACGTTGTTTTTGAAAGTCTGTAAATAACTTAAAGACAAATATGTTCAATATATAAAAATTAATAAAGTGGCCTTACTAAGCAGAATATCTAAAAACATCAGAAGTTTAATTTTTAAAAGAATGAATAAAGGACTTTAAATAATTTAGCTAATCTCATTCCCACCCACTAGTGTTCCCAGTTCTGAAATTTTTGGTAAATTACTTACCAGAATACTTCTAATTAGTAAGGTAGGGTAGGCAAAGGAAAAAACTAGAACCCTGTTAAAACAGTCTTCTGGAGGGGCGCCTGGGTGCCTCAGCCGTTGAGTGTCTGCCTTCAGCTCGGGTCATGATCCCAGGGTCCTGGGATCGAGCCCCGCGTCGGGCTCCCTGCTGGGCGGGAGGCCTGCTTCTCCCTCTCACACTCCCCCTGCTTGTGTTCCTGCTCTCGCTAACTCTCTCTCTGTCAAATAAATATAAATCTTAAAAAAAAAAAAAAAACAAAACAGTCTTCTGGAAATATTTTACTATCAGAAATGATCTGAAGGTTGTTAAGTACATAAATGACCAAGAGAAAGAAATGTTATATAATAATATAATGCACTGGTTTTAAAACAAAACAAACAAAAAAAATAAGACCTGATAAATAATATGGTTTGTCAATACTGATGAAGTAAAATTTTTAAATCGTCTTTATTGTAGAAAGAAAAGGCTACAAGGAACACCTGGGCAGAAGAATAAAGAAATAAAACAACAGGCCATTCACTTTATTTTTATGTAAATGTGGGAGGCCAAGAACCTGGAGAGTATTATTAAAGAGGAGATTGTCTAACACTTGGTCAAAAACTTTAAAATCAGATGTAGAAACATTAAAAAGCATGTTTCTACACATGTGACAAAATTTTAGAATTATATACATACACACACAAAAGTGTATGTAAAGTATGATGATATTCAACTAAGTCCTAAGTCAGAGTTAATAGTATTATACCAAGGTCATTTTTCCGGATTTGACAATGAACTACAGTAATGTAAGATACTATCATTGGAGCAAATTGGGGGGAAAGTACAGGGAATTTGCTTTTAGCAATTTGAGCAGTTTCTTGAGAGTCAAAACATTTCAAAATTTAAAGTTTCACTGTTTTTTGTTTTTTAAAGCACAAATAGCTATGTTACATAGTGCTTGGGGATAGGAAGGAGGGACTGATGGAATTTTTTTTAAAAAATCCATCCTATACATCATCACCTAATTAATCTCCCTAAAGTAAATGTTTTCATCCTTACTCCCCTGTTCAAACACTTCTAATGAATTAAATTTGTATTCCCCTGCTTAGAATGCAAAATCCTGTAGGACCTATATCCAATTCCTTCCCTCCCTCTCACTCTCTTTCCTGCTCTTGATTTTCTTTTTTATCTAATAAATATATGAATATGAGCTATGTGCCAGGTACTGGTCCTAGGTCCTGGGGATACAACAGTAAGTCCTCAGTCCCAGAGAATGTGCACTCAAATGGCTTAACACAAGGAAACAATTCACAAGCAAACATACATAGGATGTTAGTGATCCTATATTTGTACTTCCTGAGTACTGAGAAAAATAAAACAAAGTAGGGGGAATGGAGAGTGACAGGAGTGAGAGGGGGTGATATACAGAAGTCGGGACAGGCCTCTCTGATAAGGGTGACCTGAAAGAAGTAAGGGTGAGCCACCTAGCTCTCAGGCAGAGGAAACAAACACCCTGAGGTGGTGCTCTCTGCCTGATCAAGGGAAAGAGCTAGAGAAGAAGGAAGAAGATAGTAGTGGGAATTGGGGAAGGGAACAGATTATGCAGTAGCTTGTAGGCCATTTTAGGAACTTTGGCTTTTTCCCTAAATGAGATGAGAAGCCATAAGCAAAGAAGGACATGATCTGACTTGCAAATTCTAGTGTTATCTTCTCCAGTCTCCCCTCATTACTCTAAATTCAAATTAAAATCTGCCCTGCATTTTTACAGCTCTATAACTTGTTAAATTAGTTTAATAAGGAGACCATTAGACTGAGGTGGCTCTAATGCCATGGTGCCTACATGAGCAAAACCAAAGTCAAAGCCTGTAAATGTCTCAAAGTGACAAAATCAAAATGCTAAGGATACCAACCACAAAGAGCCAACTAGGCTTTAAGCTATAGCCAATCAAATAATTTCCTTTCGTCGCTTCTGCACTTTCTCATATCCCCTAGTTCCTATCAGCAGAGTTCCTCACCACTTCCAGTTTGTCACTGCCCAGCTGGAATAAATTTCTGCTCAAATAAGCTCTTAAAATTTTAAATATGCCTCAGTTTATCTTTAACAACTTCACTCATGTCCTTTGCCTGCAATCCACCCATAGACTCAGTTTTTTCTATCATCATATCTACCCTTGAGGAACTAGAACAAATGCTATTTCAGTTTCTGGATTCCTTCCAGCTGGGTGGCATCCTTTCTCTCTTTGATCACACCTCCTCCGTATCACCTTCCCCACTCTAACTTAGCCAATGACTTGCTTGGGACATTCAGCCTTCTATTTACTTCTAATATTTGGACAAATGTCCTCCTTTTCACTGTAAGCTTAAAAAAAAAACTATCTCACCATCTCATCTATTTTACACTTCTTTTATATGTCTTATGTAGCAGCTAGCCAAAAGCTATGCAGGTAGCGGGTATGCAATAAACTTTCAAAACTATGAATTAAATGCACACACATAATATAATGCTGGTTGAAATACCATACTTCCAGAAGGCTTAAAGTTTTGTAAAGGAATCCTCTGAGCAGAAAACTGAGAGGCCAACTGACTCTGAATACGGCCTGTACTCACATAGAAACAGCCTAAAAGGAAGAGTCTAGCCGGATGGCAGTCTTGACATACTACAAATTAGGCTCAAAGTCCAGGGAGAAGGGTAAAGCCTTCCTGATTTCCAAGAGTTCATGTCAACCCAATAGGCTCTGTAGTTTCACCAAGAGAAAGGGTAAGTATGACACTGCAATTTATAAGAAATCTATATATATGATTATTCAGATAACCAAAATATATTTCTCATATATATTTAGTCTTCTTCCACAGTTCCTGGCTCACAGGTCCCAAAACTCTTGGAATTTCCTAAGTGCAGAGAGTGAAAAAGGTGTCTTTTGTTATGTTAATGAAGTGACTTCAGTGAAGTGCCTAAGGGTGAGGGTTGGTTGTCAAGGGTTGTCAACCATGTGTTCAGAGGGTTGGAACTTTCAGTCCCACTCCCAGACCTCCCAGAGGGAAGAGGGGCTAGAGGATGAGTCAATCACCAATGGCCAATGATTTACTTAATCATGTCTATGTAGTGAAGCCAAAAGGGAGGGGTTTGGAGAGTTTCAAGGTTAGTGAATATATGGAGATACCAGGAGAGTAGAAGCCTGGAGAGGGCATGGAGGCTCTGAGCCCTTTCCCCATACTTTGCTCTATACATCTCTTCCATCTAGCTGTTCCTGAGTTATGTCCTCTTACAATAAACTGGTGATCTAATAAATAAAATGTTTCCCTGAGTTCTCTGAGCTGCTCTGGCAAATGAATCAAACCCAAAGAGGAGTCAGAGGAATCTCTGATTTACAGCCAGCCAGTCAGAAGTCCAGGTTGTTACATCAGATTGGCATCTGAAGTCCAAGGAGGAGGTTGTGGGAACCTCTGGTCTGTAGCTGGTAGGTCAGAAGCACAGGTATCAGGGCTTGTGACTGGCATTTGAAGTGGGGGATGGGGTGCAGTCTTCTAGGACTGAGGCCCTTAACCTGCGGGATCTCCAGGCAGATAGTATCAGAATTATGATACCGTGCTGGTGTCCAAGAATTGCTTGGTGGTATAGGGGGAATCCCCCCCACACCTCACCATTAGAATTGATACCAGAAACAATTCCACTGTCAATCCCAGATAACTCTAAAATGCTAGCCTAGGTCAGAGGATCACCTGCTATCTTCCCCACTAAATAGCTCAAGTTCATTTAAGAAAAGAAAATGTCTTACATAGCATAAAGATACCATAAAAGTTTAAAGATTAAGAGAGAGTCCAGGACGGCAGAGGAGTAGGAGATCTTAGTTTCATCTGGTCCCAGGAATTCAGCTAGATAGCTATCAAATCATTCTGAACACCTACAAATTCAACCAGAGATCAAAGAAAAGAATAGCTGCAACTCTACAAATAGAAAAGTGACCTCTTTCTGCAAGATAGAAGGTGAGGGGAAGTGAATCCAACGTGATATATGAGAAGATAAACCACGGGGGTTGGAAGCCTCTTGTTAGCCGGCTACCGGAAAGTAATAGAACAGCCGAGCACAAAATCGGAACTTTTAGAAGTCTGCTCCAGTGAGGGACATCCCTCCCTGAAAGGTGCTCAGGTGGCAAAGCGAGGTGGAATCCTAGATGGGACAGTGTGGTCCCAGGATCCCCGGGGTCACAGGAAGACCAGGGGTGCCTGAGTGCGGCAGAGTTCCCAGGCATTGGAGCAGGGAAGCTGGCTGTAATCAGCGAGTCCAGGAGTGGGCTCTCAGCTTGGGATCGCCATAAACCCTGAACCACAGCACCACCAGGGGACTGTTCTCGGAGCAGGGGCCCAACAAGCAGAACTGGAGAGATCCCCCTTCTTCCTCTGGGGAGGAACAGTGCAGGTGTGCACCACAGGAGTCTGCAGGGTTTGAAAACTCCAAATGGGGTCATGTGCTGGAGAGAGAAATGCTCAGTCACAGGTTAGGAGAGCAGAGAGAGCAGATGGAGACCAGGGAGACAGGAGTGATGGACATCTTTTC